AAACCTCTGCATAATTTACTTTTTATAGGAGACGGAGGCATTTTGAAATGGCTCGAGTGCTAGCAAGGCTCTCAATAGCGTTCTTTTTAAAAAATTGCTTACAAGTAAGCAGGCGGTGAGTTTAACTCGGTATCACATGTCACTTGCAATTTCGCTGTTTATACTGATGAATTTGCAGAGAGCAGCTCAAAAAAATCCCTGCTTAAGCGATCTGTACAACTGACAAGATGAACATAGCTAGGGTAGTTCGGGATTTATGATAAATATGGATCTGTGATAGCTCGGAGCAACTAATACTAAATTCAGTAATGCTCGGAGGCATGCCTGAGTTGCCCTAAGTAACTGTTTTATTTTTAGGTGGCTGATAAATACACAAAGAATTGTGGTTTAATTACGTTGTAATAAATATTGGAAGGATGATCTCGATGGCCACAGTTTAAGCTTTCGGTGCGACAACAAAAATCGGGCACTGCTAAATCAAATGAGCGCTGCTTGAGTTCCGCGACACTGTTCACATTCTGCCACCACACTGAATCACGCCAATCTTCGAACGACTGTGCACCACAGCAATGACCCTAAACGGTCAACACAAAAATCACTGACTTGTAAAAAGTACAGTTCATGGTGAACAAGAAATGGTTGACAGCAATTCGGTGCACCGAAAACGTTTTCTAGTCATTTGTATTCCTCGGCTTCACGTCATTGAAACTGCATAAGTCCGTTCGGCTCACGTTACAGCAGAAAAATGGGGAGGGGGCTGTCAGTGTGGTGTGTGATGTAATTAGAATATTCCCTTACGCCAAGCATAGCTATGCCAGGCTCGTCAACTCTGAGCAGCAGCTTCGACACTAGCAATAAATAGGGCATAAAAAAGTTTTTTTGAGGAACTAATTGTTACTGGTAGTTTAAGCGGTAATGAGTCAGTAGAGTGACGGCTGCAAAAACAACAAAAGGTACTGATCCCTGAATTTCAAGAATAATAAAAAATGAATTTGATCTATCAAAAGAAAAAAATAAACCGATGCGAGAAGAAAGTGAGAAAAACAGTTCATTTGTTCTTTAAAGAACAGCATGAAAGATTCACGGCACAACAAACACAGAATGGGTTTTGACTTCGCATCGATGATGAATGAATGATTGAGCTGCAAAGTGGTAATACCTGGTGATGCAAATGTTGTAGCGCCAGAGAGACGTCTTCACGCTGTGAATGATCACGAATGATAGCTGTAAGTAAGGATGGACCAAGCAAATCATCCAGCTGCTCCATGTACGCATATGAGCCAACACAGAGTGCCAGCACCATTAGCAAACTGAGCAGCAGTAACACGGTGTACTGAAATAACACTGTGCAAAATGCACATACAGTGGATATCTCGAAAGCAATTTACTCTACGGAGCGAAAAAAAAGCTCATTCAGGGAGTTAGCCATAGCTCCTATCTACAAACTTCAATGGTCCGTCCACTTTTTTTCCAAAAAATCTACTCCTTCGAAAATAATTTAATAACAAGACTGTCCCAGACAGCCGATGTGGGAACCACATTTACCGAGATGTTTATACACTCTCAGCGAAGCTGTATTAGGAGACGTTTTCATAGCTAGCCCCCCCCCCCCCCCC